ACCAGACGAATCGTATAAGCCGAGAACCTATCGTGGATTCTAAATCGGTATGGAATCAGGTTAAAATCGCAACAGGCAAAACGAAAGCCGACTAGTCATCGCATAGCCTCAATCCGAAAGTAAACCTAGGTCTTGCCCTAAACCCAGCACACTGGTCGCTAACGTCTCAAGGCATGAATCGAGATCCTAAAGGCATGTCCCTTCGTCTATATCTAAACACTCACTCGATTTACTAAACATCTTAAAACGAGTAAACGAACAAGGCGATACACTAAGGGAAAAAGGAATGCGAGACGACAACTCGCGGACCTGCCTCAATATCAACTCATAATCTTCTCGCTACATTCATACGAATAAAAACACGCTCTTAAAAACGCAAACTGATTTTTAATAAAGCCGCAAAAGCGGCAGGGACTCAGAACCACACATCGCCAGTCCGAAAACTATAACGGCCACGCTCGGCCAAACCAAACGGCCTACGAGGCTAGTCTCAAGGCCGGCAAAGGTCCAGATCCCATCGACATCAATATGCTCGATAATTCCTACACAACATATAACTAGACCGTAAAGGTCTTGCTAGGAAACAGGTTATACAAACCTTAACTCCGAAACGAACTACGAAAGGCTTGATCCCCTCAAAAGGGTACGTAGGCAGCTTTCACAAGGCGCATCCCTAATCTTAAACGCTTTCCGCTCCCTGGAGAGTGGAAAGATCACTTTCAACGGACCTTTCCGACCATTAATTCCGCCTAACTTAACTAAAACTGGTTAACCACTCGCAAGAACCTTACGCTAAAGGCTCAAGATTCTTACGAGCTGGGGGGCTAACTGTTGGGGTTAAAATCGGTACGACGGAATCAACGGCCGAAACTCCCCGCAGAAATATAAAAGGAATCGTTTTATAAAACCCGAAGAATCGTTTTATAAAACTCGAGGATCGTTTTATAAAACTCGAGGATCGTTTTATAAAACTCGAGAATCGTTTTATAAAACCCAAGGATCGTTTTATAAAACTCGAGAATCGTTTTATAAAACTTGAGGATCGTTTTATAAAAATCGAAGAATCGTTTTATTAAACTCGAGAATAGTTTTATAAAACTCGAGGATCATTTTATAAAACTCGAGAAGCCGTTCTATAAAACTCGAAGATCGTTTTATAAAACTCGAGGATCGTTTTATAAAACTAGAGAAACCGTTTTATAAAACTCGAAGATCGTTTTATAAAACTCGAGAAGCCGTTTTATAAAACTCGAAGATCGTTTTATAAAACTCGAGGATCGTTTTATAAAACTCGAGAAGCCGTTTTATAAAACTCGAAGATCGTTTTATAAAACTCGAAGATCGTTTTATAGAACATGAGAAGCCGTTTTATAAAACTCGAAGATCGTTTTATAAAACTCGAGAAGCCGTTTTATAAAACTCGAAGATAGTTTTATAAAACTCGAGGATCGTTTTATTAAATTTGAGAAGCCGTTTTATAAAACTCGAAGATCGTTTTATAAAACTCGAATATCGTTTTATAAAACTCGAAGATCGTTTTCTAAAACTTGAAGATCGTTTTATAAAACTCGAGAAGCGATTCTATAAAACTCGAAGATAGTTTTATAAAACTCGAGGATCATTTTATAAAACTCGAGAAGCCGTTTTATAAAACTCGAGGATCGTTTTATAAAACTCGAAGAATCGTTTTATAAAAACTCGAAGAATCGTTTTATAAAACTCGAGAATCGTTTTACAAAACCACGAAAAAACCGAAACCGCCGTAAAACGCGAACTAGTTACAACTAGTTCGCCCACCAGCGAACTAAGCCAAGCTGGCTTAGTTTGCCGATGGGCGAACTAGGAGTCCCTCGACTAGTTCGCCCACCGCTGAACTAAGCCAGCTTGGCTTAGTTCGCCGGTGGGCGAAATAGTCCCATCTCGACTAGTTCGCCCACCGGCGAACTAGTCCCATCTCGACTAGTTCGCCCACCGGCGAACTAGTCCCATCTCGACTAGTTCGCCCACCGGCGAACTAAGCCAGCTTGGCTTAGTTCGCCGGTGGACGAACTAGTCCCGTCCCGGCTAGATCGCCGTTGGGCGAACTAAGAGGTGCTGACTTTGCCCCACAGGTTCTTATCGCCTAGTTTTCCATATGGCGACCTAGCCAAGCTGAACTAGCTCGCCGTACGTCGAGCCGAACGTCCCGAGCCTCGATCTCCCGCATCCCCGATTCGAAACTTACGTCTATCGACACGGTCGCATTCTGAACCACGGCCGAAATGTCTCCCGTTCCATCTCGATCCGACCTATCGTTCGAGTTTTACGATAAAAACCGTAAAACTTCGTTTTCTCGACAAAGAACTCGAGGAAATCGTATAAAACGGAAACGGTTAAACGAAACACCGAACATTGCCTAAACTATACGATTTATTTGAGATTTTTCGTTAAAATCGTAAGAAACGCGTTTTTAATAAAAACGTCAAATAAATCGTAAAACCTTACGATTAACTCGAGGAATTTACTAAAAACGGCATCAGATCAGGAAACGATCCCGTACAAAGTCGGAAAACGGATTTATCGCAGAACGGCCCGGAAGGTCCTAAACGCGATAAAAGCCCATCTCGCGATCTTAACGGAATCTAACCCGAAGATACGATAACTTTTTGACGGTTTACTCGCAGGAGGAAAATAAATGACAAGCTTGAAGATAAAAGGCAGGTTTAAAGAAAAATTGAAGATTTCCGCGGAAGAAAAGGAAGGATCGAGAAAAATGGAAGATTCCCGATATACTCAAATCTGGGCGAAATGGAAAGACTGAATGGCCAAGGCGAGGAGTATATAAGAAAGAGGTCTAGGGCAGAAGCAAGGGACACGAGTTTTCAGAGCTTTCACCACCAAACTTAGCATTTAGGCAATTTTCCGTTTTCGTTATCGAGCTGCGTCTCAACTAGGGTTTTAGTCTTAGATTGCTAGAACTAGGAATTTCGCTGACAGCTCACGCAGCTAAGGCAACTCTCGTTGTAACCGTTCTTACGCGAATTCGGAATAAGAATCCTTCTTGCTTTCAATCTCGTTTTTATTTTTATATCTTTCAATTTATTCATATTAATCGCGTTCTTGGTTACTTGTCGTTGGCTTTCGCAGAGATCCGGTTCCTCTGGAAAATTAGGGTTTTCCTAACTTTCCTTATTTNCAGCTAAGGCAACTCTCGTTGTAACCGTTCTTACGCGAATTCGGAATAAGAATCCTTCTTGCTTTCAATCTCGTTTTTATTTTTATATCTTTCAATTTATTCATATTAATCGCGTTCTTGGTTACTTGTCGTTGGCTTTCGCAGAGATCCGGTTCCTCTGGAAAATTAGGGTTTTCCTAACTTTCCTTATTTTACGGAATTCGACAGGTGTGAATTTCGGTTTTCACACAAGCCCGATAGGCTCTTGATTGACGATTGCGAAGGAAGGATGTTCAGCCAGTCTTGCCCATCCACTCGAGACGGTCGAAGGAGATTCTCCAGTAACGCCGGCAAATCTAAGTAAGTACCATCCTCACCGATTTCAAACGGACAAACCGGAGCCGGAGGATCCGCATTCCCTCCGGCTTTGCCTCTAGACACCGGCACTCTCCCCTTGTCCTTCCCGGCTACAACATGGCTTCGGTGGATGAATCCCACTCTTCTTCAACGTCGTGATGCCGCCTTCTGTGCCTCCTCTCCTTTCCACCCCACCGGCCGTGAAACCGGTTCAGACTCCGTATCCTTCGAAGCAGTGCCGGTCCCCCCAGCTAAACTATCTCGCAAAGCCTGCCTTCGTATCATATCATGTTCGAATAAGATCGCGGCGGTTTCTTTTATGTTCTTCCGGTGCAATCGAAGTTCTTCGACCTCTTTGTCAGACAACGCCACCTTCTTTCCTTTAACGGAGGCCTTATCAGCCGGATTATCGGGTTTGTCTTTGTTCGACTCCTCACCGATTTTCAGCGATCCCGGCGCTTTATTCATTTTGTACGAGAACAGTAAGAGAAAGTATAGGAAGAGAAAAAAATAAGAAAAGAGAAAAAAGAGAGCAACTAGACCTAAACTGAAGCTCTCTCCCCCCTTTTTATAAGCCGAAAGAACGAAGGAAACGAGGAATCGCAATAATGACTAAAAAGGAAACTTCCGCCCTCATCCCATCACGAGGTAATCCGCTGACACGTGTCCCCCATCCACAACGACAGTCCTCGATAAATGACACGCGGTACAAGGCGTGTAGATAGGCCGAAATCAATCTTTCTGGGCCAAATTCCTCTAAAATTCATCACCCATATCCCGGCGCATGTTGATAACGAACTGGGGGGCTTACCGTTTGGGGAGAGTTTCACTCAACCCCTTCTATGGCCCAACAAAGAAAGATCTCGGCCCAACTCAACGAAGTGACGATTTGACCGGCTTGTAAACCGGCCCATTGGTAATTCGGCCCAGCCGAATTAGATCAAGTCGAGAAGATCTAGGTCAAGACGAGAAGGCAGTATAAAGGGGAGAGAAGGGAGCAACGAGAAGAGATCCGAAAATTAGCCTCCAGAGAGTAACGGCAAGATTTAGGGTTTATCTCCTAGATCTAAAATCTGGTAATCTCGTTCTCGTTATCTCTTTGATTCTGAAACGTTGTATTCGTCTGGATCTTCTAGATCTAAACGTCTTCCTAAACCTACAAAAGAAATACTTAATCGTTTAACCTAAGTTCAGATTAAACTCTCTCTCTCTCTCTCTCTCTCTCTCTCTCTCTCTCTCTCTCTCTCTCTCTCTCTCTCTCTCTCTCTCTCTCTCTCTCTCTCTCTCTCTCTCTCTCTCGGACTTTAACGTTTAACTCGGCCATTTTAGGAACAAATATTGTATTAATATCAACTCTCTCTCTCTCTCTCTGGGACTTTTAACTGGTTGATTTTAGGGACACAATATCGTATTAATTTCGAATCATCAAAGTGAAGCTGATCCAGCTGTTATTTCACTGTTACTTGAAGCACAATGTCAATACATAGGAGAGAACATTGTAAGCCTTTGAACCTTCTTCTGAGCTATATATACACTACTGTCTCTATACTTATCCCTTCTTCGTTTTTGCTGCAGAAATGTGTGGCTGGTGATCGAGTCATCACTGATCCTCTATGTAAGCCGTTCAGTATGGGAAGGTATCACAACCTTTCTTTTGACAATATTATGCTGCCTAATGGGCTGAAGCGCTACATAAGTAATCTTGTATTGACTTAGGGGATTTCTCCTGCTTTCAGGAATCTCATATGTGTTTACTCAAAAAAGCACATGAACGATGATCCCGAGCTTGTTGATATGAAAAGAAAAGCAAACACCCGAAGCTTGAAGGAGATGGCTACACTGCTTAGGTTATTAGAACTTTAGACTTGGAAAATAAAAGAAAATAGGTTGATGTTATTGTGCTAAACATACCATGAACCACACTGTAGGTCTGGCTCCCAACTTATATGGATTGCACCAAGTGGTGGAAGGGACCGCCCGGATCCTTCTACAGGAGAATGGTTTCCTGTAAGTTAACCTAATGGAAATGCAGAGATCTTATATGTGCCTGGTGGATATGTTAGATACTGATCTAAAATAAAATTGTTCAGGCTCCCTTTGATTCTTCGTCGGTGGACAACATGAGAAGACTTGTTCAACATTCTGGTGCTCCTGGACACATATATCCAATGTCTTTGCTTTCCTATGACATCATGCCTCCTCCACCCAAAGTATTGTGCTCTCTCTTTCTCGGTTTTGTGTTTTCTCTGTTTTATTTTCATCACCTCAGCTTAAATCTACAGGTTGAGAAAGAAATTGGAGAGAAAAGATTAGTTGGGTTTCACGGTACCGGACTATCAGTAGCTCCTGAGATCAGTTTCTCAGATGTAACGGCAGACTGCAACAACCCAAACGAGGTCTTGTATAGTTGTATATTACTCAAATCAGCAAAACCAAAGTCCATTGTCTATCTCATCATTCAGTACATGTATCTTTATATCCATACTTTCTTCTTGTGTATGGCAGGCAAAAGAAGCATACAGCCAAGCTATGTACAAGTCGGTCAATGAACAATTCAAGACTCTAAACTCTGCAATCAATCAAGGAAGAGGAATGGAAGCATCAATTTCAACGGTGTCCTTGTCACAACCCTGGAATTAATCTCTCAGTTTTTAGGGTAATCCATAAAACCTTTTTGTCTCAAAGTTTGCAAATTGTATATAAGGAAAAAAATCATACAAGAACAAGATAGTTACTTTTTTTTTCCAACAGACAACTATTTTATTACTCAAACTTAATGTGGTCTAGATTGCTACACCGAAATAGAATAACCAATAAATTAAAGATTCTTATGGAACAGGGTCGTTACTATTGAAGGATCTAGGAGATCATAAATATTAATGTGGATATTGTATATTTATTATGTAAGATATTCACATTTTTTTATCAATCTAGTCTAGGAAACATTTCTAGTATAAATATATATTAGAGTTTGCCTCGTGCATCCGCGCGGATATTTATTTTTATTTTTACTAGATCCTTTTTCCCGGGCTACGCCCGGGTTATGTTGTATGATAAAATTTCAGTTATTGTGTCAATATGTCTTTGTTAGAAAGATTTATGGAAGAAAATATTTGGAGACCCGAAATGATAATATTTTGTAGCAGATTTTAATAACTGTGAAAACTAATTAGCGAAAGAACTCCAATTTAAAATAGACCGGGTAGTAATTAATGTTTGATGGTTGTAGATGTTTTGAATAAAATAAATTTGCGGAAATAATAGAGCAGCTATGAAATAGAAGCCTCGGTGGAATAATGTTCAGAAGGATATGAGAGTTATCATATTTGTTAAGAAAAAATTATAAAAGTTTCATAGAATAAGAAAATGTAAATCATGGAGAAATATGTGGTATTCTAGACGTAAAGGATGTAAATGGATGGGAGTGTTTTGAGCTAAAACCTGAAAATTAATTAAAATTAGTTAGTGACCATTTTGTAGTAATAGAAATATGTTTATCTATTTCATAATATATGTATAGGAATAAAGTATCTAAAATGTGGATAATATTTTTTAACTATAATAATACTTGTTGTTAACATTTTAAGTTGAAGTACATTGAAGTACAAAAATCTTTGTTTTAGGTTTAGGGGTTAATCTGTTGTTTTGGAATTTATTATCTATGTGAAGTATTAAACATAAAAGTCTTAACATTATTATTTTACAGAGGTTCTACTGTATGTATACATTTTTGGAAACAAATATATGAACATTTTCTTTTTGATATGTAAATTTATTATAAAAAGAAAAACATAATAAAATATACTCAACTGTAACATTCTCTTTATAAATATTATATTCTGAATTCTATTCACCAAATATAATAAATACATATAGTATAACTAAGACATATATTTTTAAAAAATAAGATTTCTGAGTTTTTGTTATCAAATATATTTTTTTATAATGATGTTCAAAGTTTTGTGGATCGAAAATCATATTCCTAGTTTTTAATTTTGTCATTTGGTTATCACATTTCTGATGGGGCATTTTTAAAAAAAAATATATTTAAATAATATTTTGCACAATACGTAAGATGCATAAGATTTCACAATAAAATAAGATAGTCCAATCACTCAATCCTAAATTTTCAATGCATCATAATAAGTTAAGGATTGTGACCTGTTTAAAACTACAATCCAATGATGAAGTGTTTTGAAAGTAAAAAGAAAACCAAGTATCTAGTTGTTTGTGAATGAGAATAGAAAACCGAGGGATGGTTTGAGTATTTCTTAAGCATCCCGATGACTTCTGATCCGTCCTCTGTAATTCTTGATGAGTCTGATCCATTTGTGAAAGTAAAAATTTGTTGTTGGTGATGAAGCGAGTTCTCGTTTTCCTGCAAAGAAATTTTAATCAGTTTTTGCTGCATGGTTAAAACCCCAAAAAAATAATACGTCATATGTTTTATATTAAACTTATTCACCTTCAATTATTTTTGGTATTATGCTAGTGATGATGACAATTTTAAACTTCCTATCATTCTTGCTTTGCAGGATGCTAAACTCTATTGCGGGTTTGTTCCATAGCGTGAGCCTAACCATTTCTGAGCCGTTCAGCATGAGACCAATTCTGGGTAGTGTGGTCTTGTTTCCTGCATCATTCGTATTTGCCCGACGACATCTGCACATTACATGTTTTATTGTTAAGCAAAAAAAGATTAAAAGCTTTTCACTGAAAGCTTGTTGAGTGACCTACCCGGTAAGTAGCTAGGGTTATTGGCTAATCGCAGTAGAGATCTGTATTTCTGATGAGAGAAACTGTTTACTGGAAATATCAGACCTGTGTAAGTAACATTTGACATTCTTGTCTCTTGGCCGATATGAATGTAGTACGGGAGTTGTGTTAATTCCCGTTCACGGGAATTTGGTACGACCGAGATTCCTGAGAATTCATATATATCTCCTTATGTTAAAAATCTTGGCTCAGTTGTTTGATTTCTGTTGGAAAGCCGACCTTCCAATAATTTTCCGTGAATGATAATAAATTGATCTTATCAAACCAAAATATGCCAAACCGTGTAGAAATATATATGTATATCTAAAAATGGTAGCATGGGGTTTACGTTGTGGTCATAGCATATGAAGCCGTAGCATGATTGGGTATTGCCTGGTTTGTGAACATTTATGTCCCAAATACTCCGTACACATACCGTTAAAGGACGCACTGAAAACCCTTCTTCAAGTTGGTGGATTTGTTGAGGGATGTTGTCCATGGGAAATGGGCATACAATTTTTTTTTTTAAAAATTAAAATTAGGAAATCAATATTTTAAAATTATTGGCGGTTAAAACTAAATAAATACGGAGAAGTGGGTTTGTCTTTAAATATGGAAGAAGCTTTTTAAATGGGGTTTAAGATAAGAAAGTAAATGCAGGTAATATCATTCAAATGACCAAATTTTTTTTTTTTAATTATTTTTCTGGTTGTTGATTGGGTTCTCAAGACATTTATGTGGATTATTTACAATTAAATAATCAAATAATTGTAAATATATATTGTTTAAAAAAATGGTATACACAAACAGTGATAAAACGTAGAACCTAAAAAATCATAAAAATCAATCTTATATCTGTCGATAGCAATAAATGGATCCCTCAAATTAGTACTCTTTCACACATGTTACAATACGTAAACTTATACACAACAACACAGTAGTTCATGTGTGTAGTTAGATATGTCGGATGTGTTTTTGTGTTATAGTTGAAAATAGGGTTGAATCGATTCAATAACAAAAATCGTGTCTCTTTGACTTGTAATTGTCTATTGAATACCTTAACCTAACCGTATCTGAACCCGACCCTCATTAAAATGAAACATTGAAGGGTGAAAAATATGTTTTCTACTTTACACACAGATACATACAGAGTAATAAGCATTCACCTGCATTTTGTATGGGTTGGTGAGGAGGATGTGGATCCATTATGGCGAACCGATGTTCCTTGCTGCCAATCTGTTACTTTTTTAAAAAAATGTATGAGATTTTAAAATGTTGAGTGTTAAGACAATCATGTATTAAACTTACTCAGTTTGTGGACGAAGATTCTGTAAGGAGGGGGATGAGAAATTAATAATCAAACCAGAAATAAACCAAAAACCAGAATAGAATTTCAGACCAAAACCAAACCTCGATTTTATCAAAACCAAACCTCTATTTTAATGTGATAACCGAGTCAGACAAACCAATCCGACGTGGATGATTCAAGCTTTCTTATTGGTAGAATATTTTTGTCCATGTGGACATTCTAAGGTGGCTTTATTTAACCCTTTTAATAAAGTAAAATTGGTGTAATTTTTAATAATAATCAAGTACTTATGTAAAGCTAGGTTCTTACAATCTATATGAGTTGATGACAGTGCCGTGCGAAGACCTTTACGGACCTGAGGCAAATAAAAAAAAAAAATCATAAATTTTATGTAGTTTAAAATATTATAATTTTATCATCAATAATTAAAAATTACAGAAATTTTTCTATCAATAAAAAGTATATGAATATGAAATAAAAATGTAAATTTCTAAAAGATTCAAAGATTATCTGTTATAAATAACTGTTAATTTTATGCCAAAATGTAACTACTATAATAAAAAAATTATAAGCATAATCAAGTTAAATAATAAGAAAAAGATAATAATTATGAAAGAAAGACTATTTTCTATTTTTCATCAAAACTTTAAATCAGCTATTTTATAGATAAGATAGTGAAACCATCTAATTTATTTAACTTTTCAATTTATGTATTCCATTTTTAGCTTTAAAAAGCTTTAATGTTTTAGAAAAGAATTATGGGACCTCATAAATTCTTAAGGTTATTAATTTTTTAAAATTGTAATTAGACTGGTTGATTAAGGGATCACATATCAGTTTCCAATATATTTTTTTACTCTAATGGGATGAATTTAAGTAACCTTTTAACATTATCCTGACTTCTGTAAGAAATTAGGGATCCTTAAATGTAAAAAAATATTTGAGGGCTTGATGCAATTGCCTTTTTAACAATGGTGCCCGTCGTAGAACAACTCCCATGCCATTACATTTGGTATCTACAGTTTTTTTGGCAGTCATTGACGACAAACTATCATACCCGAAGCCAAATGGTATGAAAGCCAAATAAGATTAATGTACATCTAGCTCATCACTTATTTTTTGAAGCTTGATTAGATATAATAACACCCATAATACACTTACAACCTTGCTCTATTGTAGAAATGTATGTTATAGATAATTAAAAAATTATAAGATCTACTACAGAAAATGTGATTTTTTCAAACCGACCATGGTAATACAGTGTTTTAAGATGACTTCTCAATTATCAGAAACCAAAATAGAATCTCAACTATTACATGTTCATGTTCGTCTCTAATAACAGAAGCCAACATCTTACATATATCAAGATTCGTCTAAAATTTGAGTCGTCCTTATCTGGTGAATATAATAATTCAGATAAATATTTTGTTACTTGTTACATACTATTAGAACAGATTCCCAACATTAAGGGAACAAAAAACGGATTTGGTAGAGCTACAAATGATGATGATGCAACATGGGAGAGGTTTGTACTTGTTAGCCTCTTGATCTCATTGTTGTGTTATTTCTGTGGTTT